TTATGGTGGGGAGGGAAGGACTCTGAAAACCCTCACTGTGTTGGAAATGTTTTGTGGTGGGGGGGGGGGAACAGGAAGAGGGAATGAATGAAAGCTTTTCATGGGCCTGGATGGAGGTGGAAGAATTCCCCCTTTGAAGATATTCTAAGATTTTAAGCTCTGGCTGGATGTAAAGGCTGGCCCTGGGAAAAGTAAAAGCAGGAAACATAATCCTTTGGCTCCGAAGTTTGGCCCTTGGGGTGCGCAGGTCACAGGCCGGCCAGGGCTGGTACGAACGTGAACGGCACCCGTGCAATTAGCCTCCAAGCTTTTTGCGGTGTGACTGGAGGGCAGGGGGTGCCCTGGCTGGGGAGGGGCGGGAGTTTACTTCTTTCTCTGCCGGCCACTGTCCCAGTGGGAAAAGCCTTCCTGTGAGGAGGGGTGGGCTCAAAGTCAGGGACTGGCCGAGTCCCCCCACCCCAGGAGTTCCCACGTGCAGCGCAGGCTTCTGGTCATGGCAGCTGGGAGAGGAAATGGCAGAACCAGAGAAAGGGTGACCAGCGAAGATGGAGGGGCTGGAGCAGCTCTCTTATGAAAACGGTGGAGAGCACGGATTTGCTTAGAAAACCGTGGAGCGAGGAGAGGAAGGACGGAGGAGGCACACAGAATTATGCATGCGGTGGAGAGGGTGGGCGGGGGACTTTTCCCTGTCCGACCATTCCAGATCCTGCTTGCTGGGAGCTTCAAGACTGAGGAAAGGAAGTTTCACTCACGGCACAGTGCGGAGTGGAAGCTGCTTCCATGGGACGCAATGAGGGCCACGGATTTGGGTGGCTTGAAAAGGGGGCGGGGTGAATTCCAGGAGGAAGAGGCAGCCAGTGGCTTTATGCCACCTTCACGATCAGAGGCGTGAAAACCGGTGGCTGGGGAACATGGGTGGGGGGTGCTGTTGCACTCTCATTCTGCCTGGGGGCTCCTGGGGGCAGCTGGCTGGCCCGTGTGAACAGAAAGCTGGACCAGATGGCCCCCAGGCCTGGTCCGGAAGGGTCCTTCTTATGAAGTCCAAGGCCAAGGGGGGACTAGAACACAGATCCCCTGAATTCCAATCCAGCCCTCTAACCACTGTACCACACTGCCTCTCTTCCATACAGTTCTTATACAGTACAGTTTTAACGTTCAGCACTTATTTCATTAAATGACACTGGTTTATTGATTTAGTAATGAAAAAAAATTGTTCACTCCTCTTGCACTGTGCATGAAATCGAGGGTTCACGGTCAGAGAAGGAGCTTATGGAAGCTAATAACAAGCAGTAATGTAAAATACCCAACCCTGGCCCTGAAAAACAGCTTTGCTGGATCCAGGAGCTGTTTAACTGTCCTGGCCGGCTGGCCAGCCAAGGAGTGCTGCAGCCCATGGGGCGGAAGGGCAGAAAGGCTAATATAAAATTAACCCAAACCTCTGAAAGATAATTAGCAGAGTATTCCCAACCCAACTGGGTGTGCCAAACCCAGCTAGCACTGCTCACTCAGGTGTTTCCCCAGTGTTTGGAAATGTCCAGAAATATTTTTTATAAACACTTTTTCTGGCATGCATGGAAATAATCCTAGACGACGGCAGTCAGGGATTTCACTCCGCTGGCATGGCTAGGTGCCCAGATGCTCCGGAGGGGCTTTTGAGGAAGGGGGAAAGAAGGAGAGTTTTGCAGCGACCTCTCGGATGATGCTCACCTCGTGAATTAGGCATTTGTCTATGAGCTGAAGATAGCAGCTGATATTCTCCTCGTCGGGTCTGGAGACTAGGAGCTGGGTACACACTGCAAAAGAGCAAACCCGGCCATTTTAAGGGCAGGGAAGGCAACGATGGAGAAGAGAAAAACGGCCCTTTCCCACCGCGGAAACTGGCACCTGTTTCAAGCCTTTTTAACAATGGGCCCCACCAGCCCCACCTCTGCGAGCAGGAAAGCCCAGCCCTCAATCGCCACCCACAAGGAATGTGCGCGCACGTCCGCCCATGCGCCCAGGATTCCATTCATGCTCCCCTGGGTTTAGCACCCAGTTCTGCTCGGTTCCTGTGGCGTCCGTCCGGAATCGCTCCATTTAAGCCTATTTATAAAGCCGCGACAGCTGCACTGTTCTTTCCCCGTCTCAGGAAGACAAAGGTACTTGAAGGACCCGATGCAGAGAAACAAATGCGCCATGTTTGCCACAAGGGGGCAGGCGCCAACACCTCTGGACAGCCCCCGCCGTGACTGGGGCTGTGTGCTGGGGCCTCCGTGGAAAGCTTTCCCAGTTGTGTGGCCTGAGGTCCTGCAATCCAGGCCCCAAGGACTGAACCCGGAAGGCACCTGCTCCACCCCCCAGCTACAACTTTCCCCAAGAAAAGATGCCACCTTACACCTTAAGCCCACCTGGCGGGAATGATGGGAGTTGCAGTCCAAGCCCCCTGCCTGGGGGAGCCTGTCACTGCACCTCAACGGCCTTTGCATTGCGCTAAATGAGGCAATCGGTCAGTATCTAGAGTAGACCCATTCAATTGCATGGGGCTTGAGGTAGATTAACACTGGATAGAACCTGCTGAGCTCATCCCCTTGGATCCCTCCAGCCCCACCTCCCTGCAGCCGGCTTCCCCCCAGCAGCTTTGGCCCACAAGTTCAATTCCGTCCCGGGCCATCGTGGACAACGGCCCGGCACGATGAGAGTCGGAACACCAAATATCTGGAGGGACCCAGGCTGGGGAAGGGCTCGTCTCTCCCTCACGACCTGCAAGGTGCCGCCTCTTTTTGGCCTCACTCAGTTTCGCTGGAAATAGAAACTGAGCGAGTCAGAAGGGGCCTGCAGGGCCATCTAGTCTGACCCCCAGCTTCAGCCAGCTCCATTCATGACATGCCCACCATGTGGATGTCCAGCCTGTTCTTGAACACCCTCACCGATGGGGCCTCAACCACCTCACGTGGGAGCCCATTCCACGCCCTTGGGGTCCTAACTGGCAGGAAGTGCTTCCTGGCATCCAAACAGAACCTTGGCTCCCTGAGCTTTGCTCCATTGGAACCCACCCTACCCTCCTCTGCTGGGGAAGAAAGGTCATGACCCACCTCTGTGTGGCACCCCCCCACCCCACATACCTGTCCGTCACTAACAAGTCCCCTCGGAGTCTCCTCCTCTCGAGGCGGAGAAGACCCGGCTCCCTCAGTCTCTCCTCAGATGGCTTTCCTTGCAAAACCAGCCACCAACCTAGTGGTCCTTCGCTGCACCGATTCCAACCTTGCTATATTCCTCTTGTAATGAGGGGCCCAAAACTGAGCACAATACTCCAGTTGCGGGCGCACCAGAGTCGTACAGAGTGGCAGTAACACCTCTCTCGCTCTAGAAGCCACGCTCCTGGCTGTGCAACCAAGGGTGGCGTTCGCCCTCTTGGCCGCTGCGTCACACGGCTGGCTCATGTTCATCCTGCAGTCAACCAGCACCCAGGGTCCCTTTCACAAGTGCTGCTCTAGAAAACACAGATGCTAGATCCCACTTTGGGATGCTTTCGCTGTCTAATAAAAAGACACATCTGAATGACTGCTGTGTTAGAACTAATTCCTTAACATGAAGACCTGAGATGTTCGTTCGACTGGCACGGGCTCTCCAGAAATACACCCAGCGATGGTGCCCAAGAATCTTTCCACGGGCTGCATGAAGGCCTGAATCCAGGGGCTCTGGGTGCAAAGCGCATACAAAGGGCTGCCGTGAACCTCGCTTGCCCACTGAACTAATTTTATGCTCAAACGGCTCCAAATTGCGTCCTATCCAGAGGCAAATTTGCAGACAAACTGGACGGAGTTGTGTGCAGCTGTTAGGGCTCTGCAGGCTGGTGTCATGACCACACAGGATGCAAAACAGATTTTGAGACTTTTCCAAAGCAGGGTGGAAACCAAATACAGATTGCACAGGGCCTTGGGGTGGGTCGCCCCCCCACACACCTCAGAGTACTTGTAGGCCTCTTCGGGATACGAGCAGATAAACTGAAGAACAGGGAGAAGGAAGGGGAATGCGCTCCCCAGAGAGGTCCGCCTGGCGCTGTCATTATATGTTTTTCTGCACCAGGTCAAGACCTTTTTATTTAATCAATATTTCAATATGTTTTAATGGGGATTGTTTGTATTTTATTAAAGAGCAGCCAGAGTGGAATTGTCAATTTTATCTTGATCTATGTTGTAAGCTGTCCAGAGACGCAAGGAATGGACGGCATACACATTTTATAAATAAATAAATAAATAAATTTCAGGGAAAGGACTAAGTGCAGCTCGAGAAAGACACAAAGAACCCAGGTGAAAACGGAGCACGAGATTAAGGAGCAAGAAGCTCCAGCGATTCCGGCTGCAGTTAGAAGGGTCTGCCGGGTCTGAAAAAACTGAAAGCTGTAGGCAGCTCAACTCTGCTTGATTCTCACCAACAGTTCTTTGAATAATTACAAGCACAGAGAAAGACATCCTCCCCATCCGGCAGGACCCAAGAATGGACGAAGCGGAAACCGGGGCTCACCTTTCCCCATCACCTTTGTAAACTGTCCAGGGATGTCTCCTTCCGGTAAGGGGGGCCCTCCGGATTCGCCCTCGCAGCCCGGCATATGCGGGCGCTGCATCCCCCCGGAGGCGGAGTCCTTGCACTCGGACCCCTGGTTGTCCGAGCCAATCAGCGGAGCTGGGTGATGGGGCCCAGAGTCCCTGCTGCGCTCGTCCCCCGCCAGGTTCCGGGGAGAGTACGCTTTGATTGGAGTGAGGATCATTTGGTGGAGCTCTTGCAGCGGGAGGCGGAGATTGCCGCCTTCTAGGATGTCCTGTGGGTGGCAAAAGGCATCCTGAGCATCAGTATCGGGTTCCTGACCCAAATCCAAAAGCATCGTCTCTGGTGGATCGCTTTTGAGCCCAAGGAATGCTGCTTATTGCCCTAGATAAGCTGGGCAGGCAAGGCAGAGGGAAAGGGTTTTTATTGCTTGAGCATCCAGCCCTTCATAGGCAAATGTCGGGACTGATTTGGTTTCAGATTTTAATTAATTAACTAATTAAAATATTTATATCCCGTCCTATATGCAAAGCGCCTCAGGATGGCTTACAGAAATCAAAACAAGCAATCCATATACAGTTCTTGGAATTGAATTAACTAGCAAACAAAATAGGAGATTATCATTAAATTTCAGACATGGTAAAAACAAGAAAGAAAGGAAGTGGCAACAGACTAAGAGGTGAATAGAAGCAAGTGCAGTTCTTTGAGTAAATTCAAAGTTGGGCATGAATACGAAGAGGTCAAACTCATAACTGCTGAAGGTGAGCATTCTTAAAGATAGAGTGGAAGGAAGAACTGGGATCGTGCACGTGTTCTCGGGGGGAGTGCCAAATATCAAACAAGAGTAATTTTAGACTGGATTAGATTTAGTTTTAGGGTCAAATCCTTGCAAAGCTAAGAAATTGACCAGGCAACTCCTGACTTTTCAGCCTCTCCAACATTTTGATAGGTGGGGAGATGAAAGCTACTGTCTGGCCCTTTGCATGCTAAGATACGGTAGAGAAATGACTAATAAACATCTTCTGTGTTATCACGAAGCTGGAAAATGAGGGCGTCAGGCAATGACAACTTAACGGCTTGGTAGACCCACAGCTCCTAGGCTTACCAGGGCGAGTGCTGCCCCAGCTGGCGGGCCTTGTCTGCCCCATGTCTCCCTGCAGGGGGAACAGTGTGGAGTGGGATTCCCCAGCTGAGTGGCGGGGAGTGCTGTGCAGGAGAATCCCGCTCTTATCTCCAATTGCTCGCTGGAGCTAAGCTCAGGGAGAAAGCAGAGATGGGAAGGAAGGAAAAAGAAGGCAAGGGGGTCAATCAGGTGTCCAAGAAGTCCCCCGTCTTCTGTTCGAATCAGTCCCTCTTTTAGCTCCACCAGCTGGGAAAGAATCCCAGCAAGACACAATAAAAATATAACGGTGGCGGGTTCAGGAGAGACAAAGGGGGGTGTTTTGTTAGCATCTGGAGTTCGCTTTTACAGCTGCAGCTTTAAGCGCCAACTTAAATGGCTTGAAAAGCAGATTAAGAAGGCAGAATTAAGGGAGGAGGCTTTTGAAGCAACCTATTAAGGTGAGTCCTTCCGACAGAGACTTTGTGATGTTCTCACTGTCTGGAGAAACCGTGCTCATGGGACAACGCCGTGCATCCTGGCTCGGACGCAAGCCACATGCACTGAATGTTGTTTGCTGAGCGTTGTCTGGTGCCGCGTGCCGAGAGGGCAGATGCCCACGGTTACGGATCGCTCTCTTCCATTCCACGCAACAGCCGGCTAGCTGATGGCCGCGCTGGGACGCTCGCAACAGTTCAACTGGTGCCTCGACGTGTCACTATTTCAACCACGACCGGGGAGCTGCTGGGGAGGAGGGCCAGGCCAAGACGACAGCGGGGGCTCAAGCATCGCACAAGCCCCTGCAGGAAGTTCCTCGGCCAGTATGAACTCCAGGAGAGATCTGTCACGGACCAATGACCTCCGGCGGGCGTCTCAAAACATCGCCAACGAGGGTAGAAGTGCGACTCAGCCCTGCATTGCTCTGGAAGGGGGCCAAGGGGGGCACCTGCTTATCATTTATGCCATGTTTATTTGTGGAGGGGGGGTTGCTGCACAAGGTGCTGCAGAATGAAGGCTGAACAGTGGCCACTGCGATCCCCTCTCCCGGTCACGTGCTGGCTGCTCCGTGCTCCATTCCCCTTGCAGATCATCTGTTCTTCTGCTCCCCTGACCTAGGGCCTTCCCTCCCCTGACCTAGACCCTTCGTTCTACAGAAGCACTGGAAGCGGCCTTAAGCTGGCTCCGGGCCTCCGTCCAGCAAGACCAGCTCTGCACAATACTGGCTGGCACTAGGTTCAGGCAGGGAAGTCTTCTGGCCCCGTCTGGAGTCATGGGGGGTGGGATGGGGGCCCCCCTGCACGGAAAGCAAGGGCTCTGCCATGGTGCCACGGCCTCTCCGAGCCCGTCCTTCCACGTGCTCCTGTCCCAAGCGCTTCATTTCCCACCGTGCTTCTGCCCGTTTCTCCTGCGTTGTCCTCCCTCCCGTGCAGACGGAGCGTTCGGTGACCTTGGACCAGGCCAGCCGAGGGGGAGGCAGGCACGGGAGGAGCAGGCAGAAATTCGGCAAACGTTCCGAGCAAACTCTTGGCACAGAGGAAGATGTGAAAAGTCAGAAAGGCGAAGGACCTCAGGGGTGCTGAACTGAAACAATGCCGCCCCAATGCAACCGTCCAGCAGGAGGAGGAGGAAGAGACATGGAAGGAGGAGGGGAGGGGGAGGAGGAGGAGGAGGAAGAGACGGGAGGAGGAGGAGGAGGAGGAGGAGGAGACCACTCGACTCGACTCACCCTTTCCAGCGACTTGAGAAGGTTCTGCCTCTCTTTCAGTTTTTGGATACTGATCACGATTTTGTGTCTCGCGCCTTTGGTAACGTTCTGCGATGGCAACAGAGAGACACGGTTAGAGCGCCTGCGCCGGAACGCCACTGACAGGAAGCCGAGCCGGGGCTTCGATCAGGACGGAGCTGTGCAGCGCACAGAAGGCTGCAACTTCGGTGAATTTCAGAAATCAAGCCAAAATGTTTGATTGATTTAAAAGGTGATGTTAACTAAGCGGCAACTGAAGAGCAAAAGAACCCCTGTTTTAATGGGCTGGATGCATCATCGCCTCCCACGCATGGGGCGCTCCTGATCCAGTGAAGGAAGGGACCTGCGTGAGGAACGCGGGACGTGATCTCGACTCCGCCATGTGTCGCTCTGCTCCCCCACGGCCAGAAAATGGGCTCAGGAGGGTGGGGGGACCCTCTGGAATGGGGGGTTGGCACTGGATGGTGCAAAGGGGAGGGGGGAGCGGCAAAGGTCCCTCCACCTGCACTAGAGGGACCACCACGAGTAGGAAAGAAGCCGTGTGCCAGCCAATCTTTCTCCCAGCCTTACGGGAGAAAAGAATTCTCTAAAGAGGGAACCTGAACTATGCTTCTCCACACTTCAAAATGACTATTTATTCATGGACACAGTCATGTAAGACTTTCTAATTTTTTTAATCCTTTATGGAAAATTAAAACAAAAAAATGGACAAACATTTGGAAACATATATTTAAGATGATCTATAATTCCCTCCCCTCGCACTTAGATCAAGTTACATGAGATACAGTCTGAAGCCCCTCAGGTTACGTGTTGTAACCTGTTACAACAACCACGACAAACTCTCTGTTTCATCTCAGAAGATCCCGACAGAGACGGCTAAAGTGGGTGGGTCCCGCTGGCCGTTGCTCCATTTATAAGGTTTTGAACTCAAAATCATGAATTTGGAGCACGGACAGCTGCACAAAGCCAAGCTGCTCATCGATTCATCTGAAGAGGAGAAACGGCTCCGGCCGTGAGGGACCGCGTGGGATTGGGACCCTGGAAAGCCAGGTTCTCGGCTGTGCGAAGGGCTCCCATGGATCGCCAACGGCCTCCCCCTGCACGAATGCAGCCAGGGAGAGGAGAAGGGCTGTGTTTGTGCTGCTCTGACTTCTCCTCCGGGCCCGGAATGGGGCGTATGACTGAGCCGAGCAGGTGACCCAGCCTCCTGGGGGCCCCTGCGCGGGCATCTGGCCGAAGCGAAGCAGCCACGGCCTGGGCGGGGAGGCGCACGTACTTGTGCCTCCAGCTGACACTCGGTCAGGGCCATCATTTCGTCGTACGTCATCTGGGAGAAAAGGGCAGCGTACTTGTGTAGGCGCAGACTTTTCAGCCAGGCGGGAACATCTGCAAGGTAAGCAGACAGACAGGTGAATTCCAGGGGAGGGCTGCTCGGGTCAATGCAACGGACGGCTCAGTTCAAGAGGAGGGGCTCCGCCGAGCACAGACGCCGTCGACCGCGAGGCCACAGAGCTGCCCTCTGGGCCGGGAGGCTATACCCGAGGCTATCATTATGGGATGGGCCACCCAGTTCTACCGTTGGGTCCAGCCTGAGCCCCGGTAACAGGCGACGGATTGAACTCAAAGGGACTTGAGGGAGTCATGAGTAACTCAAGCCCCAGGTTTATCTGAGGGATTTATTTATTTATTTAAAACATTTTTATGCCGCCCCCATCGCAACAAAGCCTCGGGACGACTCACAACAAGAACAAAATATACAAATATAAATTATACAATAAAAATATTAAAACTCGGTGCATCTCGGCTTAAAAGATTTAAAATCCTATAAATAACCGATAAATTAACAATTAAAATACTTTTTAAATAAAAAGGTCTTAGCCTGGTGCCGAAAAACAAATAACGACGGTGCCAGGCGGACCTCTCTGGGGAGCGCATTCCATAGATGGGGCGCCACCGCAGAGAGAGCCCTCCTCTGGGTACTCACCCTCCTAATTTCTTTCACGGAGGGTTCCCGGAGAAGGGCCTCTCCTGCCGATCTCAGGGGGCGGCTGGGCATATTTGGATGTAAGCGCTCCTTCAGGTAACCAGGACCCAAGCCGTTAAGGGCTTTATAGGTCATAACCAACACCTTGAATTGGGCCTGGACTTCAACCGGGAGCCAGTGGAGCTGACGGAGAACTGGGGTTACATGAGAACAACGCCCAGTCCCCGTCAGCAGCCTGGCAGCTCTATTTTGCACCAATTGAAGTATCTGGACCGTCTTCAAAGGTAGCCCCACGTAGAGCACGTTACAGAAATCTAATTGGGAAGTTACCAGCGCATGTGTCACTGTCGCCAGGCAATCGTTCTCCAGGAAGGGATGCAGCTGATGGATCAGCCGAAGCTGAAGGAAAGCGCTCCTCGCCACCGCCGTCACCTGAGCTTCTAAAGACAGCTCAGGGTCGAGGAGCACCCCTAAGCTGTGAACCCTGTCCCTCAGAGGGAGTGCAACCCCATTTAGGACAAGGCCCAAGTCCCCCATCCCAAAGCCTGAGCCACCCACCAAAAGGACCTCCGTCTTGTCTGGATTGAGCTTCAGTTTATTGGCCCTCATCCAGCCCATTACCTCGGCCAGGCACCGGTTCAGCACAGCCACTGCCTCACCTGGTTTGGTGGAAAACGAGAGGTAGAGCTGGGTATCATCAGCATACTGATGGTTCTGCAGCCCACACCTCCTGATGACCTCTCCCAGCGGTTTCATGTAGGTGTTGAATAGCAAGGGGGACAAAATGGACCCCTGCGGAACCCCATGGCCTAACTGCCATGGCGCAGAGCCATAGTCCCCCAGCACCACCTTCTGAAATCGGCCGTTGAGATAGGAGCGGAACCACCACCACGCGGTGCCTCCAACTCCCAATCCCGCCAGCCTATTCAGAAGGATACCATGGTCGATGGTACCGAAAGCCGCTGAGAGGTCCAGAAGAACTAACAGGGACGCACTCCCCGTCCTTCTCCCTGCACAAGTCATCGTACAGGGCAACCAAGGCAGATTCAGTGCCATACCCGGGTCTGAAGCCGGACTGAAATGGGTCCAGATAATCAGTTTCATCCAAGAATGCTTGGAGTTGTCCCGCCACCACCCGCTCTAGCACCTTGCCCAGGAACGGGATGTTGGCCACCGGTCTATAATTGGTGGCCACCTCTGGATCCAGGGATGCCTTCTTTAGGACTGGCTGGACTACCGCCTCTTTTAAAGAGGAAGGTACCCAACCGTCTCTTAAAGAGCTGTTGACCACCTCCAGGATCCAGGTGCCAATCCCGTCCTTGGCTTTCTTAAGTAGCCAGGATGGGCATGGGTTTAGTAAGCAGGTGGTAGGGTGTACTTGTCCAAGCACCTTGTCCACATCATCAGGCCGCAACAACTGAAATTCATCCATTAATTGTGGACTCGACGGCGTCGTTGGCATCTCCTCAGTAGAATCTGGTTCAATAGTAGAGTCAAGCTTGTGACAAATCTGAGCGATTTTCTCCCTGAAATGCCTGGCAAAGTCGTCACAGCGGGCCTTCGAGGGTCGTACGAGATCTTTTTTTGGGCCTGGATGTATCAGCCCTTGCACCACCCAAAAGAGCTCCTCCGGATGGCATTGTGAGGAGGCAATGGAAGCGGAGAAGAATTTCTTCTTCGCCGTCCTCACCACCACAGCACAGGCCCGATAATGGGCTCTTAAGTGTGTTCAGTCAGATTCACCCCGTGGTCTCCTCCACCTACGCTGTAGACGTCTCCCAACCTGCTTCATTGCCCGTAATTCAGGTGTATACCAAGGAGATGAACGGGCTCTGCCAGGCGGGAGAGGACGCTTGGGAGCGATCGTGTCAATAGCCCTGGTCATCTCCCCATTCCACAATTCAACCAGGGCATCAACAGGATCACCAGCCTTGTCAACCAGAAAATCCCCCAGAGCTTTCAGGAATCCATCAGGATCCATCCGGCTCCGGGGGCGGACCAATACAATCTGGTCCACACCCTTACAGAGGGAAAGGCCGCTCTCAAGCTCAAACCTTATGAGGAAGTGATCTGACCATGACAGGGGAGTCAAGCATAAATTCCTCACCCTCAGACCACCCTCTTCCTGCCCCGTCGAGAAAACCAGGTCCAGAGTGTGTCCACGTTCATGGGTCGGGCCGGAGACATGTTGAGACAGCCCCATGGCCGTCATGGAGGCCATGAAGTCCTGAGCCGCCCCGGTTAGACCAGACTCAGCATGGAGATTGAAGTCCCCCAGGACTAACATCCTAGGGGTCTTCAACACCAGGTCCAAGACGGTCTCCGTCAGCTCAGGCAGGGAGACTGTTGGGCAGAAGGGTGCACGGTACACCAACAGAATCCCCAATCTGTCTCGGTCGCCCAACACCAAGTAGAGGCACTCCAGCCCTGGCCTCGAAGGGACCGGAAGTCCCGTGAGGGAGATGGAGGCTCGGTAAACCAAAGCGACCCCCCCTCCCCTCCAGGTGTGGACAGTGCTGAACCAGATACCCGGGCGGGCATAGTTGAGCGAGGGCAACATCCCCCCCTCCCGCCCAGGTCTCCGTTATACAAGCCAGGTCGGCCCCCTCATCCACAATCAAGTCATGGATGAGGGAAGATTTATTGTGGACCGACCTGGCATTGAGCAGCAGCACCGTCAGGCCCGAGGGGCGGTTGACCAGACTACCTGGCACCCTCTGGCTGGGGGCAGATCCAGAAGGAGGGACAGGTGTTCACCATCTGTCCCTCCTTCTTCTATGCAGACCCGTTAGACCCCCAACGCCATAACGCCCATTGCCCATCACCACCCCGATGGCGGCGCCCACGCGCTCCCCAGGCGACATCACAGTAAAGCACGGAATGCACCAATTAAAAGCAACCTAAAACCGACAATTAAAATTACTAAAAGCATCCTACTTTAATCCACTGCTAGCCCACAGATGATACCAAAGCCACCACCAAAGCCCCCGGCCAGCCCAGCCCCCCGCTCAGCGGCGTCACCACCCTTCGGCCGTCGACCTCCGGCGCTTTGTAGGCCGCAGGGCCCCTCCCCGTGCCCCACCCCGGCCCAGCACATCTCTCACGCACGCCGGGGGAAGCGGGCCGGAGCAGGGGCCTGGGCCGGGGTTCCTGGCCTCGGGGCGGCAGCGGCAGCGGCGGGCAATGGAGAAGTGGCGAGTTCCGGGCGGCGCGGACGGAGGTGGGGCCGTCCGATGCGCTGGTTCCCTCCCGGGATACGTCTTGATCAGACCTGGAGTGTTCCTGATGGAAACATCTCGACTGTCTGCAGGGCCAGACCGTGTGGCCGAAGAGGACAAGGGTGGGGTTTCCGTGCTCCCACCCCTCCAAGGCTTAGGTCAGCAAGGATGGCGCCTCAGGCCGGGCGTCCACGCCGGTGCACAGCCACTGATTTGGTGTTAGGGCCCACCCTGCACAATGCGGCCACGGTTGCGGGTGACCCACAGCCTTCCCGACTTTCGGACGCTCCTCTGGTACACTTCTTTGGTGTGAATGCGCTTAGGATACGGTGTGCAGTTCTGGTTGCCACCCCGAAAAAGGGCGCAGAAGCATTTTGCCCCCTCTGTGATACCAGCACCCAAAGGGTCCATCCCATGAGGCCAGTGGGTGGGAGGTTCAGGACAGATGGAAAGAAGGACTTCTGTGCGATGCTTTTAGCTGAACTGTGGAATTTATTTATTTATTTTATTTATTTATTAAAACATTTTTATGCCGCCCCATTCGCCGAAGCCTCGGGGCGGCTTACAACATAGATAAAACAATAAGTTAAAATATCCATATAAAATAATCTTAATTAAAACACACATTTAGTGTCGCATGACGCCATGATGGCTTTAAAAGGGGACTGGAGACATTTGTGGAAGAGGAGGCTATCGATGGCTGCTAGTCCTCATGGCTAAAAGCCACCTCCAGGTACCAGAGACAGTCTTCCTGCTGGGGAAGCTGGGAGGGGAGGGAGGGAGGGAGGGAGATCCTGGGGGGAGCTGGTTTGCCGCGGGGGGAAGAGGACCCTGGACTCGATGGGTGGTGGTCTCATCCAGCAAGGCCTTCGTCCTCAGGACTTTATGCTTGGGTGAGTAAAAAGGGCTGCATATGAGAGCGTGGCTGACAAACAGTTGGCAGGTGGAGCGGATCCAAAAGACCACGCTTGACGGTTAAATAGGGTGAACGGAGATCCAGTTATCCTCATTTTCGAAGAACTGTACCAGTTGTCCATTAATTTCCCACAAAGTTTTCCGGTTAGCAAGTATGACTGAGGACGCGTGACCTTTGAAGTTTTGGCTGGGAGGGAGGCGATGGCATGCAAGAGGCCTTGTGGGCAGCGTCCTTCGCCTCCGAAGTGGGCAAAGCTGTCTGCCCCGGGTGCAGGGAGCTGGACGCGGGGAAGTCCTGGGGAGATGGAAGGCTGACGAGGCTTTCTTGCCACCAGGCGCCCTTCCCTGAGCGCCTTCCACCCCGGAGCCGCCCTGGGGGACGAGAGGCCGGGATCCTCTAAGGACAGGGTCCGGGGCCCAAGATGCCAACACACCGGCGGCAGCAGGCTGGGGAAGGCTGCTCTGCCAGGCAGCTTTCCGCGTGCTCGACCACGGGGACATGGCCCGGTTCCTTGTACTGAACGCATGAAGCGGCCTTGTGTCGAGCCAGGCCTTTTGGCTGTCTAGCAGCGCAACCACGGGTGAGAGACTGGGTCACATCGTGGCCTTTTGATCCACCTCTGGTCCCACCCTGTTCCGAACCACACGGGCCTGGGAGAGAAGCATTCCAGAACTCCCTCCTCGCCCCTAGTGCATTTCTACGCACTCGCGGGCTCTCCTCCCATCTGCTCGGAAGCAGTCCCCGTCTCCTCCCCCGCCCTCCATGCCTGTCTCTGAGTGTTACGATTATTTTTCCTTTTCTCTGCTTCCAAAGAGAAGCAACACACAAAAATGCAGCACAAAATACAAACAGCAGTAAAAGCAAATTGCAAGACCTGTTTAAGCTGCTAGGAAGCCCAAGAAACTAATTAAATGCCCCGCAATAGAAGGCTGTCTTAACCTGGCACCAAAAAGATATTAAGGCTGGCACCAGGCAGGCCATAGTGGAGAGCTGGCTCCACAACGGGGGACACCACCCGAAAGCCCTTCTCCTTGCTGCCCCCAAGCAACCCTCCCTCAAAGCTGGCTGCTGGGGGCAGGCTCTGGACCTCGACGGTGGTCTCCAGGTGGACGGCAAGCGGGAGAAGTGTTCCATCAGGTATTGTGGTCCCAAGCCACGTGAAGCTTCACAGGTCAAAGCCAGTGCCTTGAACTGGTGTGCATGCTTTTAAAATTGCTTTCGGCCTGGGTTCTGCACAGCCCGTGGTGAGGTCTCAGGCGAACTGGAAGCCAGCACAGCCAGAAGGCCTCCAGCTGCCCACCCCGAGGGCCCTCCTGGCACGACAGCTTGGCAGACTGAGGTCTCCCAAAGGCTTGCAGTCTCCCAAGCCACCCCCAGGCATGAAGGGGTGGAGAGGAGAAGGCTGGCAAGGAAAGACAGAAGCAGGCAAAGAGGCCAAGCCTCGGGAATCAGCTCATGGAACCACTGCCAGCCACACCACCGGGCTGGCATTTCGCTTTGCTCCAAGGATAATTTGGAGGCAGATGGAAAGCGGAACGAGACAGCTGAAGCCGAGCGGACCTGGCCCCACTGAAGGTCTGTGGACCAGGCACTGCCCGGGATCCAGATAAAAGCTGCTCTCAGCTCTCGTGGGCAGAGCAGGCTGGAAGAGCGATGGACGGAGGGACAGAAAGGGCTGGGAGAAGCCTGCCCTGCCACAGAGACTTTGCAAGGGCTCCCAAGATGCCCAAATCACACTCTATGTCTTCCTGGATACTTAACCTGAGGTCTGAAGCAGGACAAAGCAACCTCCCAGGCCCACAAGCACACACACAGCCACAAGCTGCGATTCTGGCAAATCGTGGCTCTGGAATGAGGGACTGCCTGCTTAACAGATCATCTGAACTTGTGATCCTGGCTTGGTGCTCCACCTAAAGCTAAGATTTATAAGCCATGAACAAACTGTGGTTTGCATGCCTGGCTTGTAGCAGATGCAACAAGCCAGGGACCCAAGTCAGAGGATGTGCGAAACAATTGGTAGTTTGTTGTGCTGATCGCTAGCAGAAGGGATTCGGCGGGAGTGAATGGTGTGGAGCAGCAGGTCTCTCTGAAAAATCCTGGCCTATCGTTTCCTGCAGGCGTCGCCACTGACACCAGCCCACCGGAAACACCCACAGCACCAAAACACCTGCTCAAGTCCAGTCAGGACCAGCACAACAAAAGCAGCTGGACTTCAGTCTACAGGCTGAGCAAATCCTTTTTAATGCATCGCACCTTACATAAAAGCATTCCTGCAAACAGGAAAAATAGCAACGGCACGTCTAAGGAAGGGGGAACAGAAGCTCTCTCCTGGCTGTGTTTGAGTTCTATTTCTAGATTCAGTTCCACGAAAGCGTCTTAAAGCGGCTAAAGCAACCGAGACAGATGCCGCCATGAGGACTTGCGCCATGCACGCAATCACGCGATGCCGCCAGCTATGGGGAGGACGACACGGAACTCAGCGACTGCCCATGGGATGCTTGCAGAGCAGCCCTCTGGTGGGAACACCCGTGCCTAGCCCCTTTTCCAAACCACTGCGACCCCCCTTGCGCACTGCACGCAACTTCCCGGGGGCAGCTGAAGCCACAAACGCACACAGCAGGGAGTCCGCTCCCCACGCGAGGAAGGGGCGCCCGAGGGGGCCGGCTTCCATTCCAGGCCCAGTGGCGAAGGAGAGGCGGCAGGTGAGAACGGGCGCCTGACTAACTTCTCGCTGGAAAAGTGTGGCTGCAGACACGCGGGGAACGTTTTCGCCTGGCCCGGCCAAGGTGGCCTCAGCAGGAGGAAGGCGTTCCGCATCCCATGCAACAGCCTTCCTCGCCTCTGGAAGGGCCGGACCTGCCCTGAATCCCCAAGCCGGCGGGGCCATGCGCCTTGCGCTAGTGCTCGGAGCACGCGCGGACACGCAGGGAGCACAGGAGGGGTCACGGTCCTTCTGTCCGGCAGCTGCTCCTCCCAGCGGCCACCCAGGTGCTTTCAGGAAAGCTTTCGGGCACAGCATAAAAGCATCTGCTCTCCTCTGCTGCTCGTTCCTCCAGGGGCCGGCCGACTGGCCGGCCATGCCTGCTTTCGGGATACTCCATCCCATCCCATCCCATCCCATCCCATCCCTTTCCTTTCCTTTCCATGCACGCCCCTGCTCCCTGCTGCACACAGAATTAGGTCATGGTTTGCGGCCCATGGAGCATGGCCAAGCTTCACCAGTTTTGGAGGGATGTCCTCTCTCGAGCATTTTTCAAACATCCAAGAGACGTTTGATTCATAAAATTGGCCATGCGTAATTATGCATAACTTTGTGGATGGGGGAGGATATCTGACAGTGCGTCTCCCACCCTTTCCCTCTTCTGGGCCCCTGAAGACAAGTCCCTGACGAGTCTCTCAAGCATTCTTCTACGGAGACTTTGTACTTCTGCAGGTCTCGGGGCTTCCGAAGCACGTCGATTCCACCCTCTTAATGTGTAGGAGGTGCCACGTTGGCTACATAGCCATGGGCAGAGAATAAGCAGCATGCAGGATGCAGCCCCGGGAGCCAAAGTTCCCATTTGGCCCCCCCAGGTATTCCGAGGTCCCGCTTAACTCCCAGAGATGGGCAGCGTGTGTCCTGCAGGCCGCATGCAGCTGCTGCCGCCCCGGGAACAGCCCCCCGCTGCCCCCACTTACCCCAAAAGGCTCCTGCAGCAGGCAACAACTTGAATTTAGCCAGCCCGTCCGCAGCACTGGGGACTCTAGGTGCTAAATGTCACTGCCACAGATTTATTTACTTTATTTAAAACTTTTTCATAATTTCTAGCGATAAAACCCAAATTAAAATGACAATCAGGTCTTTAAATATTGGAAAAATAAAAAGGTTTTAGCTTGGCGCCAGAAAGAATAACGTGCTGGCACCAGGGGAACCTCTCTGGGGAGCGTATTACACAGTTGGGGTGCCACCACGGAGAAGGCCCTTCTCCAGATAGCCACCCTCCTAATCTCCTTCAAGGGGGGCTCCCCAAGAAGGACCTCTGACCCAGACCTTAAGCGGTGGGCAGGCACAAGGGAAAGACACGCTCCTTTGGGCCCTAAACTGTTTAGGGCTTTACAGCTCATCACCAGCACCTCAAATCGGTGTCTCGGTAGAGCTATAAGCAGACTGGTTACTTTGGCCCTTTGCTGGGTGGGTGCTCCATGGACCCCTGCAATCCATGGTGGGGCTCCGGTCCCAAGGCCCAAAAGGACACTGCCTGTGCCTCCTAAAAGCAGAATTCTTAGTGGACTGACAGATGCGCCCTTGGTGGGCATGGGGAAGAAAGCTTTTCCCATCCTGGCACCCCAGGTTTAAGCCTCCCTGGATGAAAATGGCACTCCTAGTCTCCTTTTTCACGGCAGGCCATCCAAAGGACTCTCTGGACCGTGCTGTACGGTTCTTGTTCAACCAGCTTGGTAGCTCTTCTGGGCAAAGGGGCAGAGAGGCAGGATAAAATGAACTCAGTACATAAACAGGATAAATTCAAGGGCTCTCCCTGCGCCGGCCCAACCTCCCTTTCAGGACGGGGATTTACATCCTAGGATAAAGAGAGGCCCACATTCGGCACGGTTCCGATCCATGAGGCCCTGCGTTTGACGAGTGCCTTTAAAATAATTTCCAGGGATGAGACGTGGAGCGCAAGGGCGGCCTAGCGGGCAAGCGAGCGAGCGAGCGAGCAAGACGGCCAGAGGCGCCGGGTTCGCCTTCCACTCACCTTTCATGCCACTCCCTTCTTCCTGGAATGTGTTACGAGCAGAAGGTTGATCTTCTAAGTGTTCGCTGCCTCCACTTCCCGAGGAAGCGACACTACTTTGAGGAGACAGGGGGGCATGATCCGAGGGGAGGCCCTGGGGTCCTCTCGCACGCAGGTCCTCGTGGGACATCCACCCATGTCCTAGAGGCTGGCTGGGCACAGTCATGGGCGGGGTGAGGGACACGGACCGCTTCAGGGGGCTGTGGTGGGTCTGGCTTGAGAGAACTGAAACAAACAAACACACAGAACGGGGGGGATTAAAACAGGGCATTTCTCCACAGATGCTTAGCAGACGGACACGTCTGTCCCACAGAAACAGAGGCGTGGGATCAGCGAGGGCCGTGCGCCAGGCTGAAACCCAGAGGAGGGAATGGAGCCGGGAAGGAAGGCTATCGGCTGCCACCCCGGCTTCCCTTCCCTTTGGCGCTCGGTGCCGAACCTTCAGCCCAGTTGGACCTCTCCTGGTTTCCAAGCCCCTTGCCGTCCATGCCTCAGCACCTCCCGGCGGAGGTATTTGCGCGAGGCCCACACAACCCTGCAGGTGTAGGGGAATACACGCCCCTTCCACACCCTGGGCGTCTTTCCCAGATCCCTGCAGAACACGCGCCGGGAGAAACTCGCCCTGCCCGCTCGCACGCCTCCCTGACCTCCTGCCTCCAGGCACAGCAGCTTCTCCCTCGTGCGGACGAGCCCGGCCTGGTGCCTCAGAGGTGTCTTGCAAAGCAGCTCCCACCAGTCCAGCTGAAGGCCGCGCCATGCCAGCTGGGGATGATGGGAGCCGCGGCACAACACCTCTGGGGGGTGCTGTGCTGGAGAGGGTGGCCTAGTCTGAGGCAGTTTAGCGGCCGAGCCTGGAAATAGGTCTGAGAGGAGGCTGGGGATTGGGTTCAGGGCTGCTGACAGCCAACAGACCCTGCAGGGCTGGACGGGACTACGGGGCTCCCCCCGGGAAGGGGCGCTGCGTCTCTTCAGAGGGGCGGGGGGCCTTTTCCAGTTGGAGGGCTCCTCAAGCAGACTCAGTGGCTGGGTTCGGATTCAGCAGGACGAGCCATGATGGTTTTTTACCACGGTGGATTTGTTGTGCTGCCTGAGCCCAGTCGTGGCACTCCACCATGGCCCTTCTGGTCCTTAGAAACCAGGTCAAGAAACAACGGCTTGTTCCATGGTTACTCCGTACCACCATGGCTTGCTGTGCTGCCTGAGCCAGAGTTCAGGGTGTCCTCAGTCCCGCTGTGCAACTACCAGAGAGTTCCTTGGATAGAGCGGTGCCTGTAGGAGCCACTCTAGCCATCCAGCCTGTCAGTGCAGACCAATGAGGAAGCAGCAGGGAGTGATGCACCTTGGGACTGAATTCAGGTGCAGGAGTTGTTGCGACACGTGCCAACAGGGGGAACACTGTGTAGGGAAAACGGAAACCGTGGGGACATAGGAACGGCTTGACCATCCGCTGAGTAGACCATGGCCAAACAAACAAGCAAGCAAACACACGGACCCACACAGGGTTGCTTGCTGTGTTGTGTGAACCCAGACAATCTCTTTTTCCTTCCTCTGGGCTGCGGGTGATTCTGCAGAATCCAGCAGCATAAAGGCCTGACCCAGCTTTGCAGAGCATGTGATCCAGATAACGGGAAAAAATAAGCTTTAACAACACCTGGATCTGACCAATTCTAATTAAAAACACCGAAACATTTGCACTAAGGGAATACATGATTTGTTGGCATTTAACATTACACAGAAAAGCTTCTGATACAGCCAAGCCCCACTCCCTCCCTGCATGTAGAAAAGTAGCACGTCAGGGAGAAAGCTAGCCTAGGATTGTCTTTGACATCTTAGCTTTCCAAGTGCAGGGTTTCCCCCCAGCCCTTCCACAGACAGTGTCTGAACACGAGATTCCACCACCGACCCTCTGAAAAGACCAGGGCAAAATGCATTACGCGGTTCTTTGGCCAGCTTTGCTGGGCCCCATGTAAACTTGCTGGGAGCTATCCTTTTGACTGCCTTGCGCTGCTTCCAGAATCTAGGAAGATCTGGGGAAGGACTGGGGAAGTGAGCCAAGGCGTACAGAGGAAGAAAAAGACAAGGGGTGGGCAGCTGTAAAAAGGCGAATCCTCATACTAGTTTGGAAGAAGCAGAGTGAAAATGGCTGGAGATGCAAAACTTAAAGCCGGATGTGAAGTGGAAGTGGCAAGTTCCTTCTGCAGGATCCAATACGAAGAAGCTTTTGCCACATCCCTTTCTTCCTCTGCGCTTTTCCTCAAAAATGTCCTTCCTGGGCGGGCTCTCGGATACCCGGCTGGGCTGGGAAGGGGAGCTCTGGAGACGGGGCTACAACAGGAATACAAGCATAAGGCCGGGACGCTGCAGCCAGCTGCTCAGGGCAGCCTCCAAATACGGCATTTTCCATGGTGCCAGTACATGGTCTTCACGCTGGATGTGGATGAAAGGGAATTTATACATTTTAAAAAGAAATTAACCACCATCCTGAGCCAACTGGAAAAATAAAGTTTGAGCCCAGCCCAGGAAGTCTGAGCCTTGAGAGAGGGACTTGGATTTTCGTCGGGGTCACCGGCCCGCATTCCGGCCAAAGCAAGACAGTGGAGTTATCAAGGGGAGAGAAGACACGTGTTGCGAACTCCTCCACCCCAAACACGGTTTCACTGCTTGCAGAAATTTATATTCTATAAATGCATACCTCTAGATGAGGGTAGTGACAGGTTTTATTTTCCTGGGCTCCAAGATCACCGCAGATGGGGACTGCAGCCAAGAAATTAAAAGACACTTGCTCCTGAGGAGGAAAGCTATGGCAAATCTAGACAGCAAACTAAAAAGCAGAGACATCTCCCAGCCAAGAAAAGTGCGTCTAGTCAAGGCGATGGTTTTCCCAATTGCAATGTATGGCTGGGAGAGCTGGACCATAAGGAAGGCTGAGCACCAAAGGATTGAGGCCTTTGAATTGCGGTGCTGGAGGAGACTCCTGCGAGTCCCTTGGACCGCAAGGCGATCAAACTGGTCAGTCTTAGAGGAGATCAACCCTGACTGCTCTTTAGAAGGCCACATCCTGAAGATGAAGCTCAAATACTTTGGCTACCTAATGAGAAGGAAGGACTCCCTGGAGAAGAGCCTGATGCTGGGAAGGACTGATGGCAAGAGAAGAAGGGGACGGCAGCGGATGAGGGGGCTGAATGGGGTCACTGGGGTGGTGGGTGTGAGCTTGAGTGGACTCTGGGGGATGGTGGAGGACAGGAAGGCCTGGAGGAGTGTTGTCCATGGGGTCGCGATGGGTCGGACACGACTTTGCAACTAAACTAAACAAAAAAATAGATGAGGGTATTTTGGGGTGAGGGTATATTCTATAGATTCTATGGAAGCTATTTTGGGGAGGCGGCTCAGAGGCCTCCAAAGTTTTGCTTCTTGAGGTCCCTTGAGCTATTGGAACAAAAGTTTGCCCTTCTGCCACAAAGCTGCTAGGGGAGGGACGGAGACTTCTGCCCGCCTACCCTGTTGCTGCGATGGGCCATCAAATCATCTTCAGCCCATGGTGACCCTCTGGATGAAAGCCCTCCCAACTCTCCTGCGCATAACAGCCCTGCTCAGCTCTTCCAGACAAAAGCTTTCTGTGTGGAGGCCATCCAACTCAGACTTGGCCTTCCCTTCTTCTTGCGCCTTCCACTTTCCCCAGCACTGTTGTCCTCTCCGGGGAGTCTTCCCTTCTTGAGCTGTGTCCAAAGTAGCACAACCTCAACTCTGCTGTTGTTGTTGGGTTCTTTTTTTCTACTAGGAATGGCTTTGGCTGGATTTGAACTGGGACCACTCATTCGTATAAAAACAACCCAGTTTAAGGACCAACAGAACCAGAGGCTCTGCGGGGACAACGTAAATGCAGAACTTCAGCTTCGGACAGACATTCGGTCATCCAAACCTTGCTGCAAAAGCTGCCTCTTTGGCTGGAGAGGACCTTATTCTCCGCCACCCTTTCTTCCCGGTGTTTCTGCTCCACATTATGTAATAATAAACTGTCGTCCAAGGAAAAAATGTGAGAGTCCCTCTCATCGCAGGCATAAAACTCTCACAGTGTAACCACAGTGGCTAAAATAAAATAGAAGTGAATTAACAGAGGGAGTCTTTGAGTGGAAGCTGATTGAGAGAGAAGCAGCTTGGAACAGATGGGAGAATTAACCGTAAGTGAAGCTGACACAGCCCGGAAAGAGGCTGATCCCGACTCGGAAGTCAGGCCCCACGGTGTTCATCTACATGTGGCACAGACTGCACGCACTTGTTTCTTTACTCATAGGAGTAGGCAGGGGACTCCCACCATGTCATCTTCCTCCAGAAAGCTCTCCCATGCTTTACAACCATTTCCAGAGTTTTTTTTGGACAAGGGAAAGTGTGCACCAGGCGGTGAGAAGCGCAGCACTCTCGCTTCGTGGTTCCGAGAGGGGATGCACAAAGAGGCAGAGAAAGACCCCATGGGGAGCGGGGAGATGCGTGCAAGAGCTCTTTGAAAATCCTGCAAAGGGCTGCAACACATCACTGTCTGAGAGGTGGGGTGTAAAAATTCTCAACTCCCCCACCCCATTCTCCCAAGACAGGCCTGGTACAGAGCAGCCCAAGAGCTTTTACAAAGGGAAACAACGAAAATTCAGCCGTTTGCAACAGAATGGACTATATGCTTGGGAAGATTTTTGGGGCCTGGTAAAACTTCAGAACCACCCCCACCTTGCAGAAATTCCAGCAATAGGGTGCCCAGATGGAAACTTCAGTTCACAGGTCTCATCTCGGAAATCATGTGAAGACACCCAGCTGTGACTTAGTTATGTACCTGCCGCACTTTCCAACCACACCTTTCTGCAGAAATCATGTGTGGATGTGTGCGTGGGAACATTTTCGCGAGGGAAAAACCTTTTAACTCCTTCCACTGCCGTGGGGTCACCTATGCTTTCCTGCTCGTAGCCTTGAGCTGAGGGCAAGAAAGAGCCCTCTTCCCCCGCTTTCTACACGCCTTTTGACCTCATGTTTTGGCTGACATATTACTCCCACAGTACCAAATAAGCAAATTCCAGCCTCTCCAAATTACAGATGACAACACTAGGAAGGGTGTGTGCGTGTGTGTCAATTACTCGGCTGAAATTATCTTTCTGCAGCTGTGGGCGCTAAAATTGGGATGCAAATAATATCAAAAGAACAACGCTACTTCCGAGCTGAAACTGAATAATCCGGGAGGAAAC